GGCAGTTGGGCTCGTGGCCGGGGGAGAAGAAGCAAGGGCCATGGATCAGGAACCGGGCTCCCGAGGGACGGAGCAGGTGCGGGCTGTGAGCGAGGCCTTTGGGCCTGAAGGGGGCTGCCAGAGCTTAAAACAATCTGCACTGCTCCTTTTTTAATTTGGCTCTCTGAACAGCCTGCCCTCCTCACTGACTGTCTCTCCCTCTCTCCCTCTCTCTCTATTCTTAACAGATCAGCGATCCACAAAGAGGGGTAAACACACACAGAGCAAAATTAAAATCAGAACTCCCCTGGCACGCCAAAACAAATTAGAGCAAACAAATTACAGAGAGTCAACACACAAACAGTGGAGCATCTGTGGCTCTCTGGACTACTGGAGCCGGTGGCTACCTCCCACATCACCAGCACCACAACCACCTATAGTACATGTTCACAATAAACCCTGTGTCAATCTTACACACCCTTCAAATCACCATGAGTGTATGTGTTTAAAACAGTGTTATTTTGGGTATAGCCTTCAGGAAACTCTTCAACTGCATATGTGAAATCAGCTTCAGAAGATTTAGACACATAATGATAGATGGTGGACGTGTGTTAATGAGCATCAGTGTGTATCACACACAGTAGCTCAGCCTTGAATACTAATTAATTGTTTTCTGTTCTATTTACCGATATTATTCATTTGATATACTTAAAGGGTGTTTCTGCTCTGAAGGCATTGTTCTGGTATGCTACTGAACATTTCTGGACCAAATTTGGTACAACAGTTTTTTTAACAGTGATAAGTGTGCAGATTTTTTTTACATTTGTTTTTTGCAGTGAGCACATTCTTTTGTGGCGGTTCTGTGAAATTTGTGAATTTGTTACATTGTGGATCTGGTTTTTGTATTTTTAGCCAACTTTCCTATCAATTATTTTTAACATTACTGTACTTGTAAAAGGGCAAAAAACATGAGCACAGGGCAATCAGTCTCTACATACACAAATACAGCACGTACAGTAGGTTAAAGTTGAGTCAGGAAGTCAGTCTGTAAACTGTGATGGTAAAAACTGTTGCCCACAATCCTTGTTGTATGTGTGGGTCATAATTTATTGCCAGTGACTACATTTGGCTAAGTTGGAGGGTTGCCTGGCTGCTTGTGTTTCTTGCTCTGCTGAATATCATGTTGGCATTGTTTCTGTGTTGTCAGATTTCAGAAATGTCAGTAGATTTTAGTCATAATAAGACTGAATTATCCTTTATTGTTTACTGGAGCAAATCTGACCATAGAAAAAGTCCCACAATGCATCACAAGTTGATGTTACCATACAAATATATAGTTGAACTTCAGCCTTGTGCTATCATTGCTGATATATTAATGTGAATGTCTCTGTATATCCATTTTACAAAACATTTGCAAACAAAACCATTATATATTAATTAAGGATAAATATAATTCACTGTGAGTTTCTATTTCACACATATTTCATTTATTACTTTGTTTTGTGTGTCCTTTTTTTCAAATCTTTTCTGTGTGTGAATTCAGCTGGTCTTGGCTGTCCCTCTCCCTCGGACCTGTGGCCCCTGTGGCCCCTCTGGCCCCTCTGGCCCTCTGGCAGCGGCCTGTCCATCTGCCTCCTACTTTCTGGGTCTGGTGGGACAGGGGCCATGGAAACCCCCCCTCTCAAACCTCCTCTCACCGAGCACTCTCACCAGCCCCCAGGCCAGATGCTCAGGCCCCAGAATCTGCACAGTGTTGCCAGGTGAGCCCCAGGACACACAGTTGGACCCCTTCACATACACACATGTACACAGAGGAGCACACAAACGCACACACACCCTCACAATATCAACACATATGCTCAGTAAGCCTTTCTACAAATGAAAGCCCTAAAACACACATGGTTACACAAGTAGCCCACATGATAAAACTTCCTGTCTCATGCACACATGCACATGTTTTTTTGTGATGACACATTGCATCTTCTATAGCCCCTTACCCTAACTTTAATCATCACATCTAATTGCCTAACCCTAGCCTTGACCTTAACCCAAACTTAATTCTAACCTGAACCAAGTCTAACACTGAAACAGCCCTTTGAATGGGTGTGACAACAAAATGTCCTCACTACTCACACTGTTGGCCACACACACACACACACACACACACATCATACATATATGCCAACCCTTTTACACACATCCTTTGCAGGATCAGGTGTTCCCTATAATGGTCTGAGTTCACGGGGGTGGGGCACCAACAGGTGGCGCTGTTTTCTTTCCTAATTATAGCTTTATTTATTCATTGGCATGTTGAAGCTTCCAGATGACTTTGGCTGGCCTGCTCATTCACAGGATAAAAGCCAATGTGTTTGTGCATGTATGTGTGTTTTCCAGAACGTTTTCCCCCGCTCCTGTGGGACACAAGCCATCACCTGCCTTTTAGTGCTTTTATACTTTTCTGATTTTGTTTTGATCCATTCTTCCTGTGAGCATTTTCATTACTGGAACAA